TAAATTTTCCATAATGTATTCACCATTCACTTCTTTATAGCTGCTGGCATGTTTCTATTTATTTTCTTTTAGCCTATTTGTAGAGTACAGTAAGTACAGTAACATATATTTCATTAAAAAATTCTCATACGTTCGCGAAATTGTTGTTCGTTTTAATTTTCTTTGCGCTCTTCTTTATATTTTAGATTTTGCTCACGTTTGAAACAGTGAAATTCCTCTGATGCTGTTGCTCCTCAATCCGGATTGAAGAGTTTATCATTATATTGAAATTCGATTTAATTTCGACCCATAAATATTTTGAAAATAAAGTAGTCTTAATTGAAATACACTCTAATTATATCTAATGTAGCGGGATATGTATCACTAAAAGTTGAAAAAAAATTATTACAATAATTGAAAGTAATTTTGAACTTAGAATAAAAATAGTTTTCTAAATCGGAACCACTCAGGCAATTAAAGGTTAGTTACAAGTTAGTGACTTCGGACAGCCAAGCAGGAATCGACGAAACATAGAATTACTAGTAATGATTCAAAACAATTATGTTAAAATTAAAGTCATCAGAGCTAATTGATCATAATTTGAAAAAAGCTAACAATTTAAGTGATTATAAGGTAAACATTTAAAAATCTACACAGAACCACGAAAAAATATGTATTTTGGACGGAGGGGTTGTGGTCTTTTTTATGTAAGCACGTACTTTGAAGTTTCTCTCGTCTTTGGTGGTTTACAGACTGATCGAGAAACTTTTAAACCCTTTTGCAGCCCCGAACTTAAATGCATTGAAGCAACAGCGATCCTAAACAAAGTATTTCTGAAACTGTTTCTTCAAAGTTTCATGTTGTCTAATAGGTATCTCATATAAAAGCAGCCGGTGATTTAATGGGTTTTTATCGAGAGCTACTGCCTCCAAGAAGTGAATGTGTTTGGTTACAACTTAGTGCTACTCGCTAACTATGCTGATGTTGCTCAAACGGTTTACGCAACAATTTCATTTGAATAATAATAGAAAACCATTAAACTGTGGCCTAGAACGTTAAATCCCTATTTGAATCAATTAAATTAAGGACGGTATTATACACAAGTAACTACCATTATAATGCAGAACCTTATTTCACTCAAAGCAATCACATAATCACTGTGTTTATATAAATAATAGCATTCAAGTTATTTCCAATTATGCAGATTAGCTATACTGAAGTAGCGTATTTATGGAAATCTTGTTGAACTGAGAAACAACTAAGTTAAACATAATTACCATATAGTTAAAGTCTATAAAGAATTTCTAATCTAATTATGTAAATCACGTTGTTAACTAAATGTTTTAAGTGTTTAATGTGATCTTATTAAATTGATTGAAAATATTGTACATGATTATTCGGTAGAAGAACTAGTAGATCGTAGGACATTATTCAATTCAACGATGTATGCAATTAATTTTAGGTTGAAGCTTTAGGAATTTGTCTTGAATTGCTTTCAAAACAATTTCCGCAGTGTAGTACAATTTCTGCAAAGTATAAAAAGAAAACATTTCGACTTGTTTACTAGAAAGTATAATTTGAGCTTTACTACTAAGAAAGAAACATGATACAATAATTCAATGGCAATTCAGAAGCGTATAAGCTAAATATTATAGAGAAAACGATGAAGAAAAATCACCCTTTCAATATATTTTGAACAAAAAAAAAGCCGGGTTTCATCCTGGCAGATCATGTTTGGCCGCTATAAACGTTGTCAGCCCTTCATTTGTGGTTAGTTTTTAAGATGTACTCTTAAAACATATCACACTTACAAAGTTTGCGTTTTGAGACTCTCAATCGATTAAATATCCTACATGATATACTTGCGAGCGAATGATGGCGCCTTAGAATTTGCTAATTGCAACAAATTTATTAGACGAAGAAAATAAAAGTTGACACTGCAAATACCCAAAAACAGTTTTCCCAATTAAAGGTTTTGCGCATATTTTTTTTAACCTCGTACGGTTGTGTCAACTCTCTTAGATGAGAATCTACCATTTTTTATCACTTTTTTTGCCATTAAACGAAAATACGCCAGACCAAAATGTATATCTGTAAAGCATAAAATCGCAGCGTACGTCTGTCTGTGACCACAAATAACCGTACTTCTGTAACATGTAATGGATAGACAGATATCTAAGTAAATGAGAGCGAGATGAAGGAAAATAAGATTCTAAACATTAGGGTGATTTCGTGCTGAGGCATTTATTTGCAAATTACATAAGGTTGGTACTCGTTGCATCAACGCGATAAATTCCCTATGAACTTACGTCCAAAAATGTATCGCTTTTAATATATAATTTTTTGAGATAGTTTACAAATCAATGATTTTCAAAGAGCAAAAGGTGAATGGCCGACAAGCTGGCAGAGGTCACTTTCAACCGTTCTTAACTTTTTTGCAAACAAATTGATGTTGTTAATGTTACTGAAATTTTCATTTGCGTTTTCACACAAAAAATGCCATGAAAAAATCGATCTTTATCTCTCATTTTGAATTCCGGCCCAGCGTACCCAAAACCAAAAACTGTATATTTCCTCCGATTAGTTTTGAAACCGTCTCCGACTGAAAGGCCTTAAAGCACAGCTTAAATATCCTATGATATATAAGCTGTGCTTAAAGTATATAATTTCATGTGGCAATTTTGCCGTCTGCCAAAAAAAAAGTGTGAATGCCAATTTGTATTTCTTGAAATAAACCTTTATCAAAATTGACAATGAAAGCAAAATACGACATTTACATCAATCTTTTGCTATAAAAAAAAGATTGATGTAAACGTCGTATTTACATCAATCAAGTTTACGGTAATCCCAATAATTGTGAACCAATGAACATGAATCAAAACTTCTAATTAATGAATTACTTTATTCGAACCAGTATTCTTGGTTAAGGTCAGATTCTTGGTTAATCCTAAGTATCAAGTTAATATGTTTTTTTTATTTAAATCGCTCGGAGTAAAGAGACCCAACTATAATGTAGTAATACAGTAAAAACGATAGTTAATCATGCAAAAATCGTTCCAATTTTGAGTATATTTAAAGCAACTAAGGTGCCTAGTCGTAGAACTACGGACTCTATTTAGTGCTAATCGGACCCTAATAACTACGAAAAATGCTATCAATTTTCAAATAAATCATTGAAGATATTTTTTCTTTATTTAGATGTAATTACAGAAGTATAGCAAAAAGTCACATTTTCTATCCGGGAAATGAGTTTCTTCACTTTTCTTAAGTTGTTTAGAGACTTCTTTTTAAATCCCCTGTATCTGAACGCCCCATACTTATATAATTTTTCTTCGAAAGGTTATTTCCCTACATCAATTTCGAATATACCGTAACCACCACAAGGCTAGTCCCGATTTGGCATTATATTGTAAAAGACATGGGCTAAGCCCTAAAGGTTGCGGTCCTACAGAAAGGGACTAAAGAGCATATTTAATGTATTTCGTAACGGGCAAATAACAGAGATATTTCAACAAATGTGTTTGAACATCCCAGTTTCGAGTTTTGGGTAAACTGATGAAATATTCGCAATAGGGTTAGATAGTTTAACAAATAGAACAGTCGACCTCAAAAAGTCGATGAAATTAATTCGAAATGCTTTTGCTTCGGAATTTGCATAACTAAAGCATTAGAATGTCTGAATGTGAAGTACGGGTATAAACAATTAGGGATTAATGCGTCCGATGAGTACATTTTTATAGTCAAACGAAAGGGGCGTATTCCGTAAAATTAACATGAAACCACCTGCTGGTTTATGGAAATATTTGAATTTTTCCAGGATGCAAGGGTTAAGTACATTTATATATTATACAAGCAAACGACTTTCGGATTCAAGTCAGCATTCACTTGAAAAACAGAATAAAAAGATTAAAAAATAGTTCTTAAATAATGTGAATTTAAATGAACCATTCAACCCCAATTTTGCTTAAATACACAGCAGAACTATTCTTTGAGTGTCTAAACCATAAAGGCACGTCTCTCAATACAAAAATCCTAAAACTTCCTAGAACCTGATTGGAAAACACGACTATTCCATTTTTTCTACATCAATTGGCATCATTAAGTACGGATGGTCGACCCGGATGGAAAAAGTAATTCAATTTTCTAATGGAGAAGCCTTACCGTTTCCAAAGTTTATTACACACTAAAATAAGAATAATAAAAAATCCTACATAGTATGCAACTGCTCATCTTAAGAGCCAATTTGCTGTATTTTCTTAAAAAATACACCTGATCTAAAACTTTGTACGACTAACGAAAGGTCGCCTAAAGCCGAGTAATCCATTTGTACCATATATATGATGAAATAAAAGGTATTTTGCAAATAGAGGAAACTGAAGCAGTTATCAGTTGAGTAACGTAAATACCCATAAGAAGATAACGGGGAGTTATATACCTGCCAAATTATACTTTCAGGGCGAAGTTGTTACTACTTTTATTAACTAATTTGACTTTGTTTTACTCAATTGGTTTTACGATGTTGGTAGTTGTTTTCAAACTATTCTATCAGAACAAAATCGCAGTTATTCCGGATTTCCCCACTGAATAAACCTTCTCAATATTCCAGCCAATTCAGTTCGATCTAATCTGATTAATTAATTTCGAAGTATCGCCTTGCTTCTTGCGTCGATGGCAATAAACATTAGAAGCATATCTCGAGGAGCTTGTCAACTACTGGCTGAATTTCTAATAAACCTTAGTTCTATGCATAAAAAGTGTTATTATGTCCGTTGTCAAGCTTTGTCGCTTCTCTACCATAGAGTTGACTAGGTTCATTACAAAAGGAAATTAATAAAGGCCTAAATATCTTTGAATTGTTTTGCGTTCACATATATTTCATTCTGGTGACTTTGAACTACACACCACATGAAATCGTATTGATTACGTAGAAAGAAAAGTGACCCATTATTTAGCAGTAGTTCATGAAAGGACAATTTTCAGAGGAAGAACTTTCTAACTTTTGCTAATACGTTTTCACTTACCTTACGTGTGGTCGCGAATGAACTGGTTTCAAAGCTGATAATCTCTAATCAAAGTAAAAAACTTTAATGAAGACGTCAGTGTCCGTATACATGTATATCGACATGAAAGGTTTTCAAGCGAACTAATAATATCTGGAATCAAGAAAAACTCACTTTTTATTTCACTCTCAAATTGTCCCGCCGGAAGCAATGGAGTTTTTTCCTGATTCCAAATATTATTAGTTCGCATAGCCGCAAAACAAGCCTTCAAAATAAGAAATTTTATAAAGCTTACAACATATTAGGTTGTAAGTAATGTTTCGTTCTCAAGACCTCAATTTCGCTTTATCAGATACTGCTCATTTATGCAATTAATCATGATTTAATCATCTGACTTTACACATATTGCATATTTTTATTAAACGATCTGAGAGCGAATTCACTTTATTTGCAAACCAGTCTAAGATTGCTCATTTTCATGTCAAATCCTTTAACACGCAAACACATTTGACTTGGTATTTCGCCTCTTTAAACATTCACGTTTTCTGACAGTGAAAAACGTTAAATTAAATTTGCAAAAACGAAATCACAACTTAAATGCCAACATAAATTCCTTGTTAACAACTGCCGACAAAAAACATCTAAATTTCAAAGGACTTATCAGCTTTTTTGAAGAAGGCGACTTTCTTGTTTCAGTTTACCAGTTTGTATAAGATAAAATGTTATTTGCTGTGCGGTTGAGAAACAATTCCATATAAATTTCCTTTCGTACAAAAGTTTAAATTTGCCTGACAGAGGAGCCAGTTTTTTTGGTCAATTGATAGAATGACACAACTTGGAGAGAAACTTGCCAAGTCTGCAAGAGTGAATTTTTTTGTGAACGTTGCCTTTTTGTTAATAGAAAATAACAGTTATTTAAAATATTATTAGAAATATTAGTTCTCGAGATGTTAAACATGAACCAATTATTTTCTCGCTTCAGACAGATCAAGGGTGTGAATTTTCTAACATTTAAAAAATCATTCTATTTGAATTAAAGGAGGCTTAATAACAAAATAAGAACACGTTGATGATTTCAAAAATTTGTTGTGAGTCGGATTTTTAAATTTTTCAATATTAATTAGGTGATCCAAACTAAGGAAATGTATTCTGCAATAACTTTTCGTGTAAGGCAAACATTAACTAACTGAGTTCGGCATGGACTATAGAAAGAATAATTTTGTATGTTTTATACTAATTGTTGAAGATTGAATTTTTTCAGTATAAACTCAATTTTAATATTAATTGTTTGGTATTTGTTTGTATCAAAATGTTTTGAAAATGCTTATAACGAATTTTTGATCAATAAACCATGTCACGCTCTACTCGAATATAACCAACCTGGCTGAGTAGATTTTCGTTAATTTGCCAAAATATGCAAAACGAATCGATAGTTGTTAATGCTAAGCATCCAATTGGCGGCAAAGTCAGCGATGGATTATTAGAGCGATTTGTATAAAGTATATTATCCAGAAACAACTGAAAAACAGTAGCGCGTGATTAATTGTAAACAGTCCTTATTCCAAGAGTATTATGGCTTTGCAAAATGTGAACATGCGTAAGTTAAGCTTTCAGATCTATTTTGTTACAGTCCTTGGACTGTTTTAGTTTCTGCATGTTCTATGCAGCCGGAAGAATTATAATGAATTTCGAAGAGCTACATAAAAATAGTCAAGCTTTCTTAGCTTACTCGTCGATAATAACGAATGTTTCTTCTTACAGTTGAATTTTTCTGAGACTGGAATAAATCCCTGTATCTTATAATATAATGTCAATATAAAATATCCGTTGAGGATTATTTGAAAAGCTGCACTTATGTTAATGAATAAAACAAGGAAATTTTGAAATCAAACAAATTATTCGTGTTGTTTCACAGAGATAAATTGAGTGGGTACGAATTCTCTTATAAGGCAATTTTAAAATACAAATGCCTAAATGTATTGAAGATACAGTGTGACGCGTTGGCTCAATAATGATTAAATAATTTCTATTTTGAAAATAACATGCGAGCTACATTTAGATATGACCTGATAGAGCTAATTAGCTGTTAAAATGGAGCTGCTATAGTTAATGCATAGTTATATAATATGCTAACACAGAAATCCACTGCCGTTTGATTATTGATGACTTGTGTAAATTTGCATCACAACACACATGTATATCCATAACACAACAATTAACATTGTCCTCACCGTCCACTAAGGTCTAAACCTATTTGGTTACATTTGCAACAATATTTCACGCATAGATCAATTTCTGAAATTCCAATTAGTTCAAAGTCTCGTTTGCCCTGGAGAAATCTTCAAAGTCCAACAGTTCGCTATTAGAATTCCTGCGAAATTGGATTGAACAATGTTCTCAACTCGATCTAGACTCTAATGCCATAAATTTGAGTTTAAGTGTCCTTTGATAGGCTACTTTATTTTTAAGTGTTGTGGCTCTTATTAAAGAAACTTTATCGGAGCAGACGCTTGTTTTTTAATGTTTGTACTTAATTGTTAAAATTTATTATTCAGATTATTCAGATGTTTCCTCCAGTTGTCAATTTTAATGATGTTGCTTTTAAGCTGCAAGAATCTGTTGTTTTATTTTTTAATTATTCCTGGATTGCCCATTTACAGGTTTTTAATTTTTCTGTTTTCTCCCAACAGCCATATTCTTCCAACATCTAATTTCAGTAAAGGTATCGTTCAGCTTACTTAATTATCTTAATGAACTCACTTATAAACTCGTAAATGGTTTTATGTTTACGAAAATATTAGCCGCTCTAACAGGGCTGGAAAATCTGCAGCTTGTCGGCAGCCTGTTAAATTAAAATGAACTGTTAGTAGAGCGGGAAAATGGAGAAAAATTTAAATACAGTACACGAAACAAGTTAAAATCGCTGCCAAATAGCGCCATTTAAGCAGGTTGAGACTGAGTGTTTTTGGTATAAATATAACGGCATTGCTGGGAAAGTTTCGTTTGGGTAAATCATATCGTGGTTGTTACCCTTGGAGAAAATTGCATGCAATTTCGAAACTTTAAGTATATCGGCAATGGGATTGCTACTTGATATTCAAATGTGGATTTCTTGTAGATCCATTGTAAATATTAATAAAAGTGCCCACATACAGGCAAAATAATACAAGTATATTCAACTTTGTTTTCGGATATTATTGCTGATTGCGCTAACGAACATTGCATTATTATGCTGTCCTGTTTCCATTTAAGCTGAAATCCAAATGCCACAGCAAACAAATTTCGGTCTTTAAAGACCAAAGTTACATGGGTCCAACGGGACTGACAAATTGTTTACATGTGAAATTCAAATAATGTCTGGACCTTGGCGATTCATGTATTACATATTCACAGCTAAGTGAGTAATGAAACTCTGATGCTGGAATATTAATATTTCGCTCGAGTTAAATGCGGTTACCCTTGAATTCTAACTATTGCCATAAGTCTACACATGGGCTGGTAACTTGGTTTACAGAGTAAAGTGACTCTAAACAATTCAGTGCCACTTCAAACGAACGTGATTCGATTCAGTTCTTAAAACGATTGATTAGCATTTCAACTGTTAAATGCAACTTTATTTCTTAGAAACCACGAGAAATGCCAAAGGAAATTGCGATTTTACTTTAAGGGTTAAAGAAACAAATTGCATTACGTATCTGGATTAATCTTGTCCGAGACTGAAATCGTTCCAGACATTAACGCCGGGCCGAGGGCAATCTCGACAGGGCCAGAGATCAATTTAATTTAACCTGCTACCTTATCAGCACAAGCAATTTTTCTTTGACTGTTCGCTATTATTAAATCGAAGTAAGACGCTGAAGTTTCCTTTCTTTAGACCGGTAATATTATTAAATTCTAATTGCTCAAAGCTGCATGAAACTCTTCGCTGTTTCTATTTACGCTACATTTCGTCTGGATAGAGACCGTTATTAAACGAGACATTTGCTCGTGAAGGTTGTAATGGGATTAGCGAATTGCAGAAACTAGACAACGTATGATAGATTTGTTGAAAGCTCTGTTTGAGTCATTCATTATTCAAATCCATGGATGTACCTAAAAATCTAAGACTGCAGTTTTCTCAATAAATGCCTCAATCCAGTCCAAAGAGAGTTATTATCTGCTTGAATGGCATAATTTCTATTTGATAAATCATGGCGTCGAAATATTCGCTTAAAGAGTATTTATGAATTCTCAACCAGAACCTATAAGGAAAGTTGGAAACTTCTTCATTGTTTATTCATTTTCCATTTCACAGCATTACAACACTTTGTTTGGCAAATTATCAAATTCCATTAGGGTTTTTTTTGTAAATTAGTTGAATCTATAGGCTGCAAAGTCCCAGTGGAACCCGGACGCGAATAGAAGGAAAATAAAAGCTTTCTATTATCATTCAAAGTTCTTCTATGAATTATTAAACTTGGCAACGATAGATCGTTCACTGATACTATGAATTATTGAAGCAAATCGTGCTAAATGCGAGTGGATAGAACAAAGATTTTCAATGTGCCTCATTATTGAATCAAATGCCCTACAAGTTTAATTAGCGCACATGAAAATGGGCTTCCATAATATTATATATTAGTAACAAATTTCAAAAATGGTTATATGGCGAACATATTATATATTAGTAACAAATTTTCAATTTTGAAATAGTCGCTCAATTTTCTTTCCGGGTTGAAACATTTCAAAGAACATAATGTAGCTGATATTTTTCAAGTGAACTTAAACCCTTTCCAATTACGTGCTTATGGAGTATGGGCTTTAACAACGCTGAATATTTTTCATTTTTTGACAAAGTAGTTGACCTCAGTCAATGGAGTGTTTGGTTTCCTTTAGTAAACAATTAGTCTATTTTATTAGACATCTGCCTTTATTAATATAGTTTTAAACTTATGCATTGAAAAAACATTTGAAGTATTCTTGAGACGGTCGGCTGGTAAACATAATTTCTTAAAATTAGTTTTAGAGAAAGAAGCTTTCAAAAGACGATTGTCGAGGAGAGAACATTTTCTTTTGCTCACAGCATTCGTACAGCTTGCACAGTTAACTATAGTTTATTTTTAATTTGATTTGGGAAGCTCACTCCGCCCTTAGTAATTGGAATTATTTTCCAAGACGGGAGTATTAAGTTTACTGTTCGATGTTGTAGTCGAATTTGTTTTATTAGAAAACAGCTGAGTTTTGCTTATTGAAAAGCTGCGTTATAAAATGATGGCATTTCATAGTCTGTGACACAAATTGAAAACACCAATTCGTGTTATTAAACGAAATTTTTGTTCACTTTAGTACTTTATTTTTCAAATTATTTTTGAGAATATTATTGAGGCTTGAATATCATTGATTTTTTTCCATGTAGGTACAGCTCTAATGACCCTTTTCATAGACTTCTGCCACCATTTATATTCTTCTCGCATTTATTTTCACATTTATTTAATTTTGTACGTCAGGAATGAACCACACATATATTATACTTGTGTTGCTTAAAAAAATGCGTTCACACAATAGTGTTTTAAGAGGTGCAATTCTGAATTATATTTATTTTTAAGCGCAGAGTTATTCAACTTTGCGTCACTACTCTAGAAGAGTTATCTTGGGATAGGTCGAAAACCACGAGAAATGAAAAAAAAGGTTTAGTCTCAAGAAAACGAAATAAAAAATGTCGCATCGCGTATTTGATCGTAGTTGCAAGTGACGCTTGTCCCATTAATGTTGTGGGAAACCCTATAAATTTATTCATAAATCTACAAAAATATCAGGTGAAATCAAAACGCAAATAGGCGGAAAGTTATTTGTTTATCTATCAATTCTTTTTCAGTTTTAGAATTTTGTCTTTTATTTAGTTCCCAAAGTAATAACATCTTGCAGAAAAATGCATGCAAGGATTTTATCGTCAAACTGTCAATTTATAACAGAATTGCTTAGTTTAGCATTTTTACCATTATAACTTAATACAAAAAAACTAGAGCTCGAGAAACGTCTACTAAAGTTTGCACCAGTCCTAGTGGAACACCCTTTAGTTTGCCAAATGACCATTGTACTACTTTAAAATAATGTTTAATGGAAAAGTTGAGTATCCCCTTAAAAGCCTTTTACCATTTTTAAACCACCGTGTATCTAGCAACTTAGAAAATTACCAAGCTTTCTTAAGACAGAATAATGATGTAAAGTTAACTTTATCAAGAATCTCAGCCTAAACATATTCTTTATACTAGTTGTCTTGCACAAATTATTGCAATTGGCCACTTTTGATTAGGATGCAGTTGCCATGAAATAAAGTCCGTTATACCCTTACAATAATCAAATCAACAAAAAAATAACGCTAAGTAGTTTTATCGACAGCTTAACATCCAAAGTGAAAATTATAAATTCATAGCCAATTTGCCTGCTAATCGTTTTGTCATTGGCGTTTTTTTATCTTTTAATAATACAATTTAAATTCTAATAATGATTAAAACTTTTTCTCTGTTTTCTGCGTTGTTGAACGATATAATCAAAAATTTTAATATCGCCTCGAGCAACACTTTTTTACGGGAATGCTAATATCGCATTTGAGTCTCGCCAAAAAGCGAGCGGCAATAAACTGTTTTCCGCTGCCCTGGCTTGCAAATAGCCGTTTTTCATTTGACAACAACCGTTTTTCTCGATAAATGTCTAGATCCTGGCAAATTTTAAAATTCTTTGCGTCGTTCAGAAAAACGAATGATTAATATTTGATTTATTCCAAATAGGTACTTAGACATAGACTGAAGTTTAAATTAAACGCTATTTTATGTACGTTTAAAGCGTTTAAAATGGAAAAGATTTAAAATATGTCGGGAACAACAAATTTTAGATGAGCAGGTATTGTTGTGCTTGACTGTCATATCAGAACCAATAAAGATATTCATTACAAATTATGAGTGCGATTATTATTATTATGAAAGATTAATGTAAAATCATTTACAAAAACGATGGAAGAACTGACCGGAAAAAGACCACAAGTCTAATTTACGATACACAACAACTTTAAGTTCATGAACTTTCCAGTCTATAAGTTTCTACATTACTGGCAGACGGGACAATGGCATAAGGTGAGGTTTTTAACGAATGATGTGCAATAAACAACTCGATCAGGAGGAAACAATCGTAAAAGATTCGCATTTTAGTACTGTGAATCAAGTAGAGAAAAACAATGTTTAAACGCTCATAAAGTCATATAAATTCCTTACTTTGGAAATTGAATTTGAAAATATACATAAATCACAAGCGATCACAAATGTTGCTTTGACTAAACGAACGTAAATCTTGAAAACGAACGTGATCCTCTATGTTATCTACGTCGTTCATTTTATATAGTGGATTTTGATTTGCAGATTTACAGAATTCAATTTTCAAGCACACTTCACGTGAATTAATGACACCGAAAAATTACTGAATAAAAAGTTCAATACTATGAACGAAATTGGATAGAATTCAATCAAACAAGTTTCTGTAATGAAGTGTGTATGCGTATAATTAAGGCCAAGCGCTTTCGACAATTACGTCATCATTAGGGTCATCGTCAAATTACAAGCGAACATCCCCAAGAGCACCGAATCAAACATGCAAAAACAATGGGCATAAATGGTCCAAAGGGCTAAAATTGTATTTGACAAACTTATGAGAAAACAGACTAAAGTTAAAATTAGAATAAATTAGAATAAAATAAGAATAAAGGAACTTGACTAGTCGGCCTTAACAGTACGTCTGGTAAAGCTTGTTCGCTTGTAATTTGACGATAGCCCTAATGATGACATAATTGTCGAAAGCGCTTGGCCTTAATTATATGCATACACACTTCATTACAGAAACTTGTTTGAATTTTTTGAATTTGAGCTTCTTCTTGTGGAAATTGGATACGCCTCACTTCATAATTATCCCTACTTCAACGAACATTCAATGTATAAAAAGGTTTTTATGTTGTATTATTGCCGTTGACTATATGAATGAATCCAAGTTAGAACTACAGCAAAGTCCGCTTATAATGAACCCGGTTATAGCAAACTTTCGGTTAAAACGAACTTTTCTCCTTTAATTGAAACGTGGTCCATAAAGGCCAAC